GGTAGTGAGGTCGAAGGGAGTGGCGGCGAAGTATTGAGAGGGGGATCCTGCAAAATGAGAGGCACAAACGGATACACGACTGGCTCGTGCACCTGGTGAGAAATAGCATGCATAGGCGAGACAGCAGGCATATTATTATCAGCGATAGAGAAAATTATCTGCTCCTCGCCATCTCTCAAAACCAAAGTCCCATCATGGATATCTATGAGGGCCCTAGCGGTGGCCAGGAAGGCCTTCCTAGAATAAGTGGCAGTTCTGTGTCTTCATTGATGTCGAAGACAACAAAATCCACAGGATAACAAAACCTGCCAACCTTAACCATGAGGTCTTCCACTATACCCCTAGGATGAACCACAGATTGGTCAGCTAATTGAATACTCATCCTAGTTGCGCTAGGTTCACCTAGACCTAGTTTTTTGAACAATTTGTATGGGATAACATTGATACTAGCACCTAGATCCTCCTGGGACCTCTCTACGTGTAATATGTCAATGGAGCACGAGATAGTGAAGTTACCTGGGTCCTTCTGCTTTTCTGGAAGCTTGCTCTGCAGAAGGGCCGAACACTCCTCGCTCAGCATCACTGTCGAGAGATCTCCAAGTCGCTTTTTGTTGGTGAGGAGATCTTTCATGAATTTTGCGTACTTGGGCATCTTCGATAGTGCATCCACAAACGGCAGGCTGATGTTGACCTGCTTCAGCATTGCCATGAATTTGGCAAACTCAGTCTCCAGCTTGTCTTTGTGTAGGCGAGTGGGTAAGGGAAGCTGGGGAACATGCTCCTTAACCACTGGCTGTGGCTTGGGAGCAGGTGCTTCCTTCTCCAACCTCACTTCTGCATCGTTGGCTGGAAGTGCTGAAGCAGGTAGTGGCTCCTCTTGCCTGGCTGGGGCAGGTACAGCTGATATTGGCTTGCCACTCCTGGTTGTGATGGCATTCAGCTGCTGGTGAGGCTCACGCTGATTGGGGATGGTGGTGGCAGGCAGAGTTCTCGGCGCCCTGGTATTGTTCTAGCGAGCTATTCCTCCAATCTGATTCTGGAGGTCCTGCAATATGTCACATTGGTTCCTCTGACTTGCCTCCAATGTGGCAATGCTCTGGTCCAATTCTTCTGGCTAGTAGTCATGAATGTCGCAGAATGTTTTTGAGCTCGCTCACCTGATTATCTGGAGCTGGAGCTGCTAGTGGCTCGGCATATTGTCGCTGCGGCTGCTGAAATGGTGGCCCCTGTCTGGGCTGGTAAGGCTGCTGCTGTGGAACAGGACCCTTCCTGGCCTGGAAGGGCTGCCTCTGCTGAAAACCACCTGCTGGTGCTGGAAAACCAGGTGGTTTAGTGGTGTTGCTATTATTACAGGAGAAGTTGGAATGCTGGCGCCACCCTTCATTATATGTACCAGTGTAAGGATCAAGGCGACGAGCATTGGTGATGAAGTCCAACTGCTCTTGGGGTGTAGAAGACTCTCGCATGGCCTGGCAATCTTCCACCAGATGGTTCGAACTCTCACACCACTGACATTGAGCAACTGGAGGCCCGGAAAGTCCTCTGCCTGGAATAAGACTGTTGGGCTGCTTCATTGTCTGGACCAACTCAGCCACCTCTTGCTCTAGCCCGGACCTAACCTCCATGGCGTGCACTCCTCGGTCCCGAGAACTCCTGCTTCTGGTGCTCTGCCCCCAAGAGTGATCCCTGGCAGCCAGAGTCCTGATTCAGCTCGGGTGGAGTCTTGGTGAGAATATCCCCTCCTGGGCATAGAGACTCGATCACCCTCTGGCTTTCTGGGGTCAGAGCGTTGTAGAAATTCCCCACTGTAAATGCATAACTGAAGCCATGATGGGGATACTGCCAGAAGAAGCCCGAGTACCGCTCCCAAGCATCACGTAGTGACTCATCTGGCTCCTGGCGGAAATGAGTGATCTCCCGCTAAATCTCTTTGGTCTTCGAGGCCGGATAATACTTGTGCACAAATTTGTCGTCCAAGTCGTCCCACGATGTGATGGATAGTGGGGGCTAGGTCTCTAACCAACTATTCGCATGTCCCGCCAAAGAAACGGGGAAAAGGTGGAGGCGGATTGCATCATCGGGTACACCATTCATCTTGAATCCATTTGTAAGCTGCAGGAACCAGGAAAGGTGCACCCTCGCCTCCTCATCCTTCAAGCCATTGAACTGGATAGAGGATGTAATTAGTTGAATCCAGCATGGCTTGATCTCAAAGTTGTTCGCTAGAATGGGTGGATAGAGATGGGGCGGATGTCGGCGACCTGTGGAGTGTAGTAACCACCTACTCATGCGTAGTATAGCGGGTTCAGTTCTAATTGTCAACCCGGGTCCTAGGTGTGATGACTACTCCGTGAAAGTCTTGTTATCTAGCGGTTCAAGTGTAGTGAAGGTTCAATTAAACTAGCAAGCAAAGTAGTGAAAGTTGTGTTCAAGTTGAGAGAGGTCACCCAGATATGGTTCCCCATAGACTTCAGTTAAGCCAGGTTGTAATTTACCAAGTTCAAGTTCACTGATAGTTATACTGCTGGAGGTTCTTCAACAGTCTGCAGTCTCGACTAAAGGTCTCCAGACCCTCTAAATCTGAGTCCCCAGCAGGCGACTAACCTCCACCGGAGTAAACAGATTGAGGCCCTAATGAACCAAACCCCCTCTAGCGGAGTAAATCCGGCACAGAATAGTGAATTGACTCCTCGACTAAAGTTGTCAATTCACTATCTTCAATCAAGGGTGCTCTATCAACCTAGGCAAATATTCTCTTTCTAGGTCAAACCAGAAATAACAGGAATTTGATCAGGATTCATGCCATTCAAGAAATCAAACCTTAATCGAATATAATCATATCACTGAATTTGTACTTGGGTTCATACAATCAGACCTAACATACAAATCTAGGGTTCTTCATACCCAGGTGAATGAGAAAGTTACTCCATAGAGAGAGAATGGAAATCTAGCTCAGATGCGGAAACCATACTGCGAAGGATGGGATTCTTCTTCTGGCAATCAATCAGCATTTCTTCAAGCTCAAACTGAGCTCCAATGGTGATGAAGATCGATCTAGGACGCTTGGAGAATCAGGTTTGTCACTCTCTCTCTCTCTAGGTATCAGCTTTGTCTCTCTAAAATTCGGAACCCTTGCAAAATTGGCCTTCTTTCCCTAAAGAACCAGCTGTTCGCGATCCTCGGTCGTAATCCCCGGTCAGGTATTTCAGGTGCCCGGCCGGGGATTTTGAAACGCAGCGCAGCGGTATAGGGTTAATACCCGACCGAGGTCCAGAATACCCGATCGGGTATTTTTGCTCTCTGGTCGGGACTCCTCCTGCTTCTTGGCGTCCAAAATCAGCTTTCCCCGGCCTCCCATTGCATTTTACCAGGCCGGGTATTTTCACTCCTGGCCGGGTATTTTGCTCTTCCAGCGCCCTTCTACTCAAACGTCCTCCTTTTGACCCGAAACTCGTTTCCTCGCCTTCACATCAACGCCAAGTCCTGAAATATGACATAAACACACAACCTAGCGTGAAATCGGATTAAAATACGAGAATCGACTCTCAAATGGCTCAAGAATGGAGGTATAAACATGTGTAATTATTGGTCTATCAGAACACCATAAAATTTTCAAAAGCACACCAAAAACTACATAATGGAAACCACAAACACGACAAAGCAAATCACATAAAACAACCAGATTCTTCCTAATTCAGAACACAAATCTATTAAAACAAACCAGAAACCTCACAAACTAAACCACAAAATTTTCAAAAGCAACCAAAACCCTTCTAATGCAAACTACAAAAGCAAACCATAAACCTTCTAATGCAAACCACAAATCTATTAAAACAAACCAGAAACCTTGCAAAGCAAACCACAAAAGTTTCAAAAGCACACCAGAAATCTTCTAATGCAAACCACAAAAGTTTCAAAAGCACACCAGAAACCTTCTAATGCAAACCACAAAAGCAAACCAGAAACCTTCTAATGCAAACTACAAATATATTCAAAAAAACCAGAAACCTCACAATGCAAACCACAAAATTTTTGAAAGCAAACCACAAACACGATTAAGCAAACCACAAAAGGTATACAAAAACACGAGAAACCAAACCATAAATCTCATAATGCATACCATAACATCCGATGATCGTTGGCCGTTGACCGGTCAACGAAGTTCGTTGACCAAACTCCGATGACCGTCAGTGAGCAGATTCCGACGCCAATAGGCATATTCCGGCCCCGATGACTAGATTCCGACGCCGGGAAGCATATTCCGACCACGATGAGCATATTCCGGCGACAGTGGCATATTTCGATGAAAAAATAGCATATTCCGGCGACAAAAAGCATATTCCAATGATCGACAACCGGTGGCCGAATTCCAACGACCAAAATTTTGGGCAGAAAATAAAAAAATATTTTTTATTTTTTTTATTTTATTATTATTTAAATATATTTTTCATAATGACAATTATACCCCTGCTTTGATTTTACACTAGATCAACTCAGCTAATAAAAAGTCATTACAACCCTAACTTCCTATTGATGGGAGACTAGTGTTGTTACAACAGAATGGGTGTTGTCACCCTATCTAGTCCCGACTAATTAAGGCCTCAAGACATCATATCAATGCAACATATTGTTTTTAGTACATACTCTTGAGTACATATCCATCTAGGCTATACGATAATCCGAATTCTTACAAGCACAAGCAATTCCAGGATGTTAAAATACGTACTAGTACAAACAAACAAAGCCAACCATTCCCTATCAACGCAAGGCATCATGCACTGATAATTTTCCCCAAGTGTTTTTCGAATACTTCCAACCAGCTAATCATTCCATCCCACCTCATCCCGTCACCTACAAAACGCTAGTCAAGATTTTAAAACTAATTATCCACTGCAAGAAATCCAGTTCTCTGCCCCTTCTGCCATCTCCCCCTGGCCTCTTTCTGTTCATCAATTCGTACGTCACAGTCACTATATAAGTATTTGTCCTCCAATCCGTCATCAAACAACTGCTAATCAGCCATTTCTATGTTCAGTTAGCATTTTGGGGTTTTCTCCATTTTCGGTTAATTAGTTCCAACTTCCAAGGAGAGGAGATAATTAATATGGCACGGATACGCCTAATTGAGCACGGGTTGATGATTGCGGGTCATGGGTTCGGGTCCTGGCCGTCGATGCCGGTAGCAATCGGGTTATTCGTGGCGATTGTAGCTCTGGTGGCATTATGCGCCCACCAGCCGGCTAAAGAGAAGCAGAATTCCAATACAACGTCGGACAGAACAACGTCGAAGAAGCTAATGAACAGGACAATTAGCCGGAACAAGATCAATCCGTCGGCGACCCAGAAGAAGAGGGGCGGGGATGATCACGCCCACGAAATTAGGGTAGACGTCAGCGCTCAGGTGCCCCTTCCTTCCTCGACTCCTCTGCCTCCGCCGCCGCCGACCGCGGCGGAGAAGAGGAGGGAGAAAATCGCGCCGCCAGGGGCACCACATCGGAAGAACAGTAAGGACTTGAGCGCGAGCAGCAGGAGGAGGGACGGCAGCGGCGGAGGGAGTGAGAAGAAGGGGAAGATTGGGGCGAAGGTGGCGACGGGAGGGTTCGGGGAAGGCGGGTTGTGGCAGAAATCGATACTGAGAGGGGAGAAGTGTCAGCTGCCGGAGTTCTCCGGCGTCATATTTTACGACAGCCGAGGGAATCAAATCCAGATAGCGGAATGAACGAAACGCAGCGTTTTCTGTGGAGCCTTTGTTTGTCTTTTAAGGGCGGATTCAGTACTGATTTGGGAATCCCTTTCTACCGGCGGCAGGGTGGCTATGACCTTGAATTTTTCCGTGGATTTACAGATTCCCTCTCTTCCGATGTATTCTTGTCTACAATTTTGATTCATGTGCCTAAGTTTTTTTCTTCATATATATGGGCCTTTTTTCCTATAGTAGTTCCTGGTTTGTGGATGTTTGTGTCTTTGTAAGAAGCGGACTGGAAAGAAGAGCTACTTTCTTTTTCTTCTTCCTTTGTGTGGCACGAGGGCGACCAAGCTGCAAAAATAAAAAATAAAAAGCACCAGACAGTATGTAAGGAAACAAAAGGGGCTTAGATATATGTGGTCACTTATGGGTTTATCACTTATTTGAGAATGATGTGGTCTTTTGTGGTTTTGATGTTTGGAGAGGCGAAAAGCCACGGTGTATTGTGACAGTTTGAGTGCAATATGTTTGGTTAATAATCAAGTTTATTATGAGATGACTAAATACATATATGTGAAAAGAGGATTAAGGCGATGAAAGTGGGCACAGATGACAATCCTGCTGATATTATCACGAAGCCGGTTCCACATTGCAAGTTCTTACTGAATGTCCTGAGTGGATGATCCACCTTAGGGGCATTGGAGGCAGGAGATAGAGAATGATCAGATTACATAAGAGATTCAAGTAGAATATTCAAGTCAAGGTTGAGATTTGTTGATGTGACTTGAATTGGATGATTGAGCGTTGATTGGAATTCAAGGGGATCTCACTGTCCGGTCAAATGAGTCGAGGTCCAGGAGCGAATTGCCACGATGTATTGGCTAGTACACGTTTGGGCTTTTAGTATGGACCTAGTCTGTAACTTAATTCTTTACTATATTGGATTAGGGTTAGGCCATTGGAGAAGTAATACAAAAACTTCCATACTCTTATGTAGTCTGTAATCTCCTTAGTTATAGTGAAGTTGTCTCTCACCTGTATGTGGACTAACCAACACACGTTATGTTGGTGAACCATGTAAATTTGTATGTTCGTTTCTTTCTTGTTAATTGTTGTCTTTCTTGTATTGGCAATTGCCTCGATCCGTGCATAACAATTCTCGTGCCAGCTCATAACCCAATCAACTAACAGGTATAATTCCAAGCTTCTGCTCTACTCTGGTTCCCTCTCATAAGGCCATGCTTCGAGTTCGAATAGATAATCTTCCTCCGGCATGGCGAAAAGCAAGCGACTTTTGAAATCGAGATGGGCAACTCATTCTGCATATTCTTCTAGCATAGGCCCAAGATGGCAGTGCCCAGTATAGGAGTGTCGGTTTAGTTAACCAAATCGAAACCAATAGAAAGCGGAAATCAAACTAGACTGTTTCGCGAAATCGAACACGAAACTATTAAAGGCTTATCAATTTTTGGTTATAAGAGCTTAACGATTTTTCTTACTTATCGATTTTTCGGCTTAGATCAAAACCGATAAAATACAAACCAGTTTGGAAACCAAAACACAAAACCATCAATGTACTTATCAGTTTAGTTTTAGTTTAAACCAAAAAACCAAAACCAGTATCCCACCGCTAGTACCCACGACATACTTGGTTTGAATAAAAGACAGGATGTGAGATGATTTCGCCTGGTAAGGAGTCGAGCTTGTCCTCTTCAGTCGGCTCCTGGATCTTTCGTTGATCAGTCCACCTAGCAATTTTTAGCACTCTTTGTGATCTCTATCGATGAAGGGAGACAAGAAGAACACAAACTGGGTTTCTCGGCAATCCGACTCTAATTTAGGGATGGCTAACGAGTAGGACAAGACGAGTATTATTGACCCATACGCACCCCCGCACCAAGTACGAGTCAGTTCGGGTAATATTCATGCGGGTACGGGGCTAGCGGGTCGACTCATTCTCACATGTTATTTGAAAAAATATGATAAAAGATCATTCTTGTATGGTAAAACAAGGAACACACTTCATGAATGAAAAATATTGCTAATAAAATGAGTAAGTATAAATAATTGAAAGACCAAGTCATGTCACCTATTTTAAATTTCACTGGGTAAACTATTATTGAAATAGGATAAATACAATTTGATATTAAAGAAAATTGAATAAGACGTATCAATAATGGGACAGGACGGGACAAGTCGGAAGTAGTAACCATCATGGATTTGGTCGGACAATCCCAACGGAAGGAGTTCCAATCGCAATCCCTAGTCTAATTGCTTAGGGGTTGTTTGCTTCGCGGATTCGTATAATGGATTTGGCACAAAAAACCTAACCATCATGGATTTGACCACAATCCGTTGTTTGCCTGTCAAAAAAATTTTAGACAAATCCGTGGGACCCATGGATTTGGGAGTTTTTTTTGCTCCAAATCTGTGGGCCCCACGGATTTGTAAATCCCACATCATAACTTGGGATTTGCTTAGCGGATGAAAAACCAAGATAGAAATGGACAATCTTATCTCAATATTTTTTTATTATTTCAATTTTGCCCTCTCTCTATATTACACTAACCCCACCGTCGATTTGTTTTCTCTACAACTCATTGTCAAATCTAAACAAAGAACGAAGACGCCGAGTTTAACGTGGTTTCTCTGATCAACGGGACTAGTCCACGAGAGAGACGTAACTCTCCAAGTCAATAGTATTGGCTTCGTTAATTAGGTTACACGATATAATGTACATATATATAGAGGTTCCATAACCCTAACTAAGGCATAGTTACAATATGATACTTATAATTTCGACACCCTCCCTCAAATTGACGTCTAGTACGTAACATCAATTTGTCTGATAAGTACCAGTGTCTCCTAGATCCCAATGCCTTAGTCAAGATATCAGTTTTCTGATCTTCTGTGGCCAGATGATGCAACTTAATTCGTCCTTCTGCCACTAACTCTCAAATATAGTGAACTTGGACCTCTATATGCTTGGTCCGATCATGCAACACTGGATTCAGTGCTATCTGAATAGCGCTCGTATTATCACCATATAGTACCATTGATTGCTCGCACTGAACTTCCAATTCTTCTACCAGCCTGTGTAACCATATCAATTCAGAGCTCACCTCTGACATAGATCTGTACTCCGCTTCTGTTGACGACTTGGAGACTCGATCTTGTTTCTTGCACCTCTATGAGACAAATGACTGACCAATGCGCACACACCAGCCTGAAGTTGATCTTCGTGTGTCTTGACTACCTGCATAGTCAGCATCTGCAAAGGCCTCAATCTTTGCTTCTCCACCTGCTGGTAAGAACAACCCGACATCATGAGTATGTTTTAGATACCTTAGGATTCGGTATAGTGCATCTAAGTGTTGGCCTCGTGCTACACCCATATACTGGCTCACAACCTGTACAGAGTAGGCAATATCTGGAAGAGTATGTGTGAGATAGATTAGACTCCCAACTAAGCTGCGATATAAAGACTAATCCTCCAAAATATCACCACTATCTTTCCGCAGCTTCAAGTTTTGCTCCATGGGTGTCGCGCACGATTTACACTCTCCATACTGCGCCGTCTCTAGGAGATCTTAAATGTATTTCTTTTGTGAAACAAAGAGACCCTTCGGGGATCTATGAACTTCTAGACCAAGAAGTAAGACACATCAATGCCGAGGATGGCAACTTCTGTAGTCATAATCGATGCCATGCTCCTGGAGAAAACCCTTGGCTACTAACCGAGCCCTGTATCTTTCTATCGTTCCGTCAGGAAACATCTTAATAGCATATACCCATCTGTTTCCGATAACATACATTTCCGGCCGCCACAAAACCATCTTCCAAGTTCTGTTTGCCTCTAATGCATTTGTTTCCTCTTGCATGGCAAGCTCCCAATGTGGGTTACCTACTGCTTGTTCATATGTTGAAGGAATAAACATGGGATCAGTAGTAAAACCCACAAAATCTAATAATCTTACCGACGGTTGGCCTAGAGTAGCTCGGCTGGATCTCCGCGGGACTACAGGATTTAGTTCCTCCTCATCATGTCCCATCCCTGAACTGTTGTTGTTACTTCTTGAACTACTACTTGTCTCACTTGAACCACCTGACACGTCCAAGGAGCTGGAGGACGAGCTACTGTGAGGCGAGGAGGACACAACACTTGAAGAAGACGCCAAGGAAGGACCACCCGCGGAACTCAATGGCGAACCACTTTCTGAGGAGCTACTATCCGTAGGTGATGAGCTACTGCTAGTGTGCGAATTCCCTCCCTGAGGCTCCAATGACGTGACAGAAGGCGCCCCAAAGGTAGGCAAAGGTGCCAAAAAAAATTGAGAGACGAGGAAGAGTTCTCCAAACTATGTGGATCCACTGAATAGTACATGACATGTTCCAGGAACAGAACATGATACGTTGTACGAATTCGCTTCCCAACCGGGTCGTAACAACAATAGCCTTTGTGTTTGTCGCTATAGCCGACAAACACACATTTGACCGTCTTAGGAGCGAGTTTATGACGCCCTTTCCATGGTAGGAGAACAAAACAGGTGCACCCAAAAACCCGTAGGAAAGAGTAGTCTGCCTTTTTCGAGAACAAGACCTGATAGGGAGAGAGTTGACCCAGTACCGACGTGATCTGACGATTTATCAGATAAACAACTATGTGCACAACTTCCACCCAATATGCACTATGCATATGTGAGTGAAACAACAAGGCACGGGTCAGCTCCAATATATGTCTATGTTTCCTTTCGACTAGTCCGTTTTGTTGCTATACACCTAGGCAAGAAAGTTGAGAAAGAATCCCCTCTAACTTATAAAAATCAAGGAGCCCATGTTTAGTGAACTCTCTACCCTCATCTAAACGAATGACTTTGATAGTCTTACCAAATTGCGTCTTAATGAGCTGTACATACTCCTTAGCCAAGCCATGCACCTCAAATTTAAGATGTAGAAAGAAAACCCAAGCGTAGCGAGTCTTATGATCAATAAATAATGCGAAGTACTTGAACCCTATGCGAGAAGTTACCAGAGAAGGACCCCATAGGTCCGTATGCACAAGATCGACGGAGCATCATACTCAGTATCACTGGCCGAAAATGATTGTTGAGATGTTTTGGCCTTAATACAACTCACACAATCAGACCGAGAACCAAATGAAGAGTCAAATTTCCTAGGAAGCAAATTCTGACAAAACATAGTTAACAATCTTGTAGAATTCGGATGTCCTAACCGACAATGCTATAATTTCCAAACCGAAGCATTCTTAGAAAAATCCAACCCAACAGAATTCACAGAATTGTTTGACAATGACTCACACATCGGACTAATCACACTAACTAACTCTTTGCTCTTGGATGCGGTTCCAACCTCCACTGGCCTTCTCTCTTCACGTACTCCTCCAGGCGGTTGGT